TATATATTTGTGAACATATTTATTTATATAATACCATAGGTATATATTCAATATATAAAAATATAAAGTCATCACGAGAGTCATCTTTCGCAATGATCAGCTGGCGTCGGCGACTCGGCGTCGGCGATGAGTCGTGAGACGCGACTTACGAATGGTGCTGATAAATTGAGAGGATAAATTCATAATTCGCAAAATATTTTTTTATAATTTTTAATTACTCATCTGGCATCATCGGGTTTTTTATTTATAATTTGTAATTTCCGACAGTTGGGAACTCGAAAAGCAAAATAGTCGGAACAACGAAGGGATTTAATTCGTTGATTTGTGTGGTAAGAAATAGGAAAAAATTACTGAAATGTGCGTGACGATACAAATTCGAAATCTCATTATCTCTCCACAACGTGACAGCGCCGAAAATGATCCCTGACCAATTGAAATTTTCGTGTAGAGAAAAATAGGAACCATGAACAAATCATGGAGTATGTCAGACTGGTGGAATTTAGTTTTTTCGGTCGGGGACTCGCCGGGGGTCACTTGAGAACTCGGAATTCGTGTCGGCACAGGAGTTAAGACCAGGGCAACTTGACCTCAGGATGATAGTGATTGGTAGATGTGATCCTTTTGCTGACGGTATAGCCAATAGCTGTCATTCTGTCCCCTATCTGATGTTTGAAGTATTTGCAATTGTTGTTATTTATTTTTTTGATAGAAACAAAGAGCCCATTTCGAAGAAAAAATTGCGTATATATAAATGACCTAATTGGACATTACGTTCTTAGTGGGTGGCTTATGTAATCCTGTATTTCACATATGTACCAATAAAAAGAGAGATAAATGAAGTTCAGGTATTTTAAAAACGATTGCTCGTTGGAATTAAACCCGTAGAAGACTAGTAGAAGGTAGCTTTTTTTTAAATGTCTTATTATTTTAAATATAGAATATGTAGTGTCGTTTGTATATATATATTTTGGAGCTGTGACATTTCCTTTTTTTTTGCCCCTAAAAAAAAGAGAAACAATTCCCTGCGGAACCAATGACCAATTGGCAATAACCTTTACCATTTAGGCCGTTCGGATGAGGCGGGCGATAAGCTACTCTGTTTAAGGGTCCCCAGCCATAGCCTCCTAAATTTAACACTACCCCTGGATAAATTTCAATCTTTTTTAAATTTTTTGGTGCACTTTGAACTTTCAAATTTTTAGGTACATTTTAACCGAATATTTTAAATGCATATTAGCCAACTATATTGTGTATGTCGACCTATCCGATGTCGTAAACAATTTGAAAAAAAAACGAGCCCTAGAGTAGACCTATCAGTCCCAAGACACTTTGTAAATATCAAACAATTACGACAATCTTAGGGTTTGAGAATGTACCAGAAATTGGGGCAAAACTAAGATTCGAAGAGTAATTATTTTGGGAGGCTACTTCGCAGATTCAGAATCCTAATAATTAGAACGTTTAGAAATAAGAGTATGTACTGTACATATTGGATATTTGGGTTGGGACTTTGGGACCTAGCGTAAATCGTAAATTCAGACCTTCTGAAGAAAATACGGAGCCACCTGTCTAATTTATTAGAAGAAGAAGGCCGTAAGCCACCCTCTTGTCAATGTTTTTTAAGAATAAAAAATATAAAAAGAACAAATATGTAAATAAATCATGGCCCTCTGGATTTGCCGATTTGGGTCTCGAGCAGAAATCAGGTTTCTTCCGGCGACCATCGTAAATTTAGCGCAGACAATCCAGAGGGCCACGAATAAATTTTTACATGACCCTGGACGAACGTCCATAGAACGTATTTATGTACATACAGTACTTCATAGTTCATAGTGACTTCATAGTTCATAGTGACTTCATAGTTCATAGTGACTTCATAGTTCATAGTGACTTCATAGTTAATAGTGACTTCATAGTTAATAGTGACTTCATAGTTCATAGTGACTTCATAGTTCATAGTGACTTCATAGTTCATAGTGACTTCATAGTTCATAGTGACTTCATACATACATATATA